TTGGACTAAAAGATAATACTTTATCATGATTAGTATTCAGAATGCCAGTAAAGTGGCAGTACAAGCAAATGATGCACAGTGCAAATTAATTTATATCTGTAATTTGATATACGTTACAAATATTCTGAAGTAAATTGAAAGATAGGCTCTGAGATTCCTTTAATGGAATGGTCTTATCCTAAGTCCAAGTTGAGTATAGGAGAATGGATATTGGAAGATTAGCAGAGTAAAACAGAAAAGATGCCAGTGAAAGCATTGACATGAGTTAGGGAAGTTGAAACCCTTGAAAGAGTACATTGCTGTTCTGTGTGACGCCAATAAGAAAATCCCCAGTTTGTTGGTATGAAGCAGAAGCATGAGTCCTTAAAAAAAGGACATAAGAATGCAAGCACCAGAGCTTGGAGTCATGACCAGTGTTCTGATTGCAAGAATTAAATGGTCTATTGTTGGGAAACAAGGAGAAGGTCATAATAGTATTCGTAATTTTATTCTTGTTTTTATGAGCTTTTTTGTTTGTTTCTGCAGAAGACCAATCATTAGAATTTTTAACCAATTTTATAGCTGAATCATTACATTGAATTAAATATTTGGATTCTTTTCTTTCACTCCCTTCTCAATAATTTCTTACAGATGCTTAGTTCCTTTATTAATAAGAGGTGTTGGAACAGTATTGCAGTGACCAGATTCTCGTAAGAAATATGAGCTCAGTGGAGGTGATAAGTCATTAATATATTGCTGACTATTTCTCTCTGTTCCAGTAATAAGAGACATAGTTATACTTTGGTATTGATTCATATGTAGTATAATAAGAGCTTGAATGTGGAACAACATAAGCTATCAAAGTTGATTGGTTAATTGATTAATTAAGGTACAAAGAGGCATGATTACACTCAAGTTATGCTTCCTGAATTGATAACTAGTTATAAATGATCTTAATTCAGGGAATTAGAAATTAAAAATGCTTGTTAATGACAATTCTTTATCAGATTTTTATTTAAAATATAAGTTCTTTATGAACTAGCTCTTTCAAGTTATAGTTTCTGAAAAGTAACATTTTAGGTTTGTGAGGTCCTAAAGAAGCTGTCTAGAAAAGGTTTTTTTTTTTTTTTTTTTTTGGCTTCAAAGCAGAACTGTGAGTGATCCTTTAATACCAAAGACTCTGCCATTGATTCCTAAATATCGCTAACAATGGATATTTTGCTTTGCTTCCTGTTCTGTCTTCATACCTTAGTCTTTTACCTGGATGGTGAACAACAGATACTAGAGCCAGCTTATACCAGTAGGGGAGAATTTCCTGTTAATTTTCCAGGAATTCTGTGAACCAGTTGTTAGACACCACTTTATTAAAAATTAATTATGTAAGCATGTGATTAATTTATTAAAACAAAGCAAATACATGTGCCAGAGCCAAACAGTTTCTAATTATTTTACAGCATTGTGCTGTTATCTATGCTCTAGGAATTATTTTATGTTTATAGTATCTATGTGGTGGAAATTCTATAAAACAGTGTGCTAATGATTGAGCATCTCTTCCCAACTTCATGTGCAGTGATGTCATATTTGTAGTTAAAAATCTATATGGAGGAAATAGTTACATCATGGAAATACACAAAGGCCACAAATCAGGCCCTCCTCCAGTCCCCTAGAGCCAATTATTAAACATTTACGAGCATACCACCAAGCATGGGCTTTCACCAGAAGAAAACCAATTTTCCTCTTTTTACAAAAGGACTGATTTATAAGCCTAATTAATTATACATGTAACTAATTAATGCATTAATTAATGTATGTAGAAAGTGTATTTCATAACCTAAGTTTATTTGTTGCTTTGAGTGCATCTATAAAATTGTTTAAACATAATGGAGAAGAGTTTATTTTCAAAAGTTGCACCGTTAAGCTCTTTTGTGTAATAGCTTTCAGATCTTTCTAGAGTGCTCAGAGCATATTGCTGTTGATAACTGATTTGTGGCTAAATGACCCAGAATTGAAAATGGGTCATACGCTGCACTTCAAGGTGATGGAGTAGTATCTAGAATCCCTCCCCATGTGGAAAGTCATTTCCACTGAATGGTTGTTGATTAGTTCCCATGAATAAGGGAGGACTTACTCCAATCCTGGGCTCATCCACCTGTCAGCAGTATTGGTCCTAAAGAGCTTCTTCCATGAAGAAATCAGGCAATCAATGGCAAAGTGACTGTAATACTTTTTTATACCTACCATCTGGTTCTTCCAGGATAGGATGAAATACAACTTTCCATTGTTCCCACACTGAAATACTAATTAATCTCACAGGAAGCCACAAGAAGGTGATTTATTTGAGAGCACCCTAAAGGATATTCAACTCATAAAGTTTATATTCTTAATATAAATAATAATTTTTATTATATGAAACAAAATCCTATGGCACCTCAAATTCCCTTGTTTCATTCTGAAAATATCTTAATGAGGCAGATATTAATATATTCCCATTTACAGAACAGAAATCAAAAGTTTGTTGAGATCATCTGATATGACTTAAAGCATTAGAAATGTAGAAATGTGGGTAATATAATGTTGTGTGTATTTTCTGACTAGATTAAACGAGAGAGCTCTTTTTCTGGTTTTAGGCCAAACATATTATAAAGAACAACTGTTTAAACAAGCAGTTGTTTTACATGAAATGTGATTTGTCAACTGTGATCTAAGTGGCTGGAGTAATAGGAAGAGACATGTTAACTTTTAAAAACAGCCCTTTGTTTTGTTTTGTTTTATCATTTCTGTTGGTAGAGATAGCTATTCTCATAATTGATATTTATTTTTAGAGCCCTTCAGTAGTCACTCTTGTTCTCCCTGGGAAAAAAATAGTGAAATGCAAGCTTTCTTCAGATTAAATATTCTGCATGAATTTCTGTATGCTCTATTTTCTTCAGCAGATGAACCACTTTTGACAATACTTTCTCACTGTCGACATATAATCTGCTAATACCACAGGGACCTATACCCACAAGTATCCTCTCTCTCTGTAAGAGTTTAAGCTAATTCCTTTTGCTCTTTGATGGTAACTCTTCCTTGGCCTTGACATGTGTGATTGCCAAAGATCTGAATGTTGCAACCACACCATTGACTGAGCCCCTTGAATGCAAGTCTGATTATAGGGAAGCATTAGATGAAGCCACTGAACCATTAGGAGGCCTGCAAAGATCCCCTAACAGCCTTTTCATCTCCAAGAGAGCCGTGGCTGAAAATACACAGATGGTGTCCTCAGGGACATGTTCTTCACACACGTAGATTCTGTTGAAGCATTTCACAAGTAGGAATCTTAATGTTTTGTAACATTTCACAGACCCTACATCATTCAGAGGAACATTGGTCATCTATTATTAATGTGTTTGGCTAGACCAGAAGTGTCTTTATACATGCTTCTTAACTCCTTCACTACTAACTGGATTTTTATTAGAGGACAGAGGTTTTTGTGGGGGACTTGGTGCAAAGATATGTGTAACATATGAGCACTCAGTAGCTCATTTTTCTTTTTAGGACCCCACAAAGTACAGAACATTGATTTTCTTCATATATTTTTCCTTATTGATGATAATTTTTTATGTTAGCAAAAATGTGCATGGTTTCTAATTCAAGATCCTTTGTTTTGTCTCATTATATTTAGGAACTAATATTATTGTATTTAGAGCACCATCTAAAGACTGAAGAGACAATGATATCTTTTCAGGTGCCAGTATTTTATCGTTCTTGTACTGTTGGTTGTCATGAAACTTAATTTGATTCTGAATTGTTGATTTCTTGTCATTCTATCAATGAAAGTTTTGAAATGCTCTTAGGAAAATGGTGGTCAAAGATCTTTTCATAAATAGAAATACCTTCCTTTAATAATATTCATTTTACATTATAAAATACCCATTGATATACAAGGGGTTTTTTTTCCAGCCCCCCTACAATCCAGTATAAAAATCCTTGGATGTTAAAGTCCATGATATAAAATGGCATAGTATTTGCATATAAGCTATGCAAATCATCCCATACATTAAAGTTTTATTTATTTATTTGAGAGGCAGAAAGAGAAAGAGCTGTCATCATTTCCCTCTACCGGTGACTGTAATAGCTAGAACTGGAACAAGCTGTAGCTAGCAACAGGCAACTCCATCCAGGTCTCTCACGTGGGTGGCAAAACTGGAATTAGTTGAGCCACCAGTACTACCTTCCAGAATCTGCATTGGCAGGAAGGAAGAGTCAGGAACTAGATCCGGAAGGGAACTGGAACCAGAAATCAAACCCGGGTACTCTGATGTAGGATATGGTTATTTAACTACTCAACAGCCACTCCACCCTCCCACATACTTTAAATCACTTCTAAATTATTAACAATCATGTAAATGCTTTGTAAATAATTGTTGTACTGTATTGTTTAAGAAACAATGATGGGGTGGGCACTATGGCATAACTGGTTAAGCCATTGCCTTTGATGCAAGCATCCCATATAGGCTCTGGTTCCTGTCCCTGCTACTCCGCCTCCCATATAGCTCCCTGCTAATGTGCCTGGGAAAGCAGCAGAAGATGGCTCAAGTCCTTGGGCCCCTGAATCCACATGGGACACTGGATGAAGCTCCTGGCTCCTGGCTTCCACCTGGCCCAACCCAGCCATTGCAATCATTTGAGGAGTATGCCCCTGGATGGCTGATCTCTCTCTCTCTCCCTCTCTCTCTGTAACTATGGCTTTCAAATAAATCTTTTTTTTTTTTTTTGGAAAAAAGAAACAATGACAAGAAAAATCTTTACATGTTCAGTATAGATGCATTTTTTTCAGATATTTCTGACTTGAAACTGGAAGAATCTAGTGATATAGAACCTATGTATAAATGGTGGGATGACTGTTTTTGGAGGGAACCCACCTTGCCTATGTTCTTTCCATGACCCCAAATGAAAGGAAAACAATGAAGGATAATCATCTCATAGGTGACCCAATTATGCCGATGGTTAACTGTTGTGAAGTCACTATTTCTCCAAAGGGCGGGCTCATGTGGGTACTGGAGGCTATTTTGGTGGGTGAGCAGTCACAGCTGGCTGGCAGAACTCATGCTATAAAAGCAACACTTATATTGGTGTAACATAATCCAAGTTGATATAGATGGCAGCAAAATGAAACCAATGATATTAGAACTATGTTTTCTGGATTGAGATAAATGTGAGTGAAAAAAAGCATAGTAAACACAGCAATTTTTTTTTAGATTTATTTATTTATTTGAAAGGCAGAGTTACAGAGAGGCAGAAGGAGAGAGAGAGAGAGAGAGAGAGAGAGATATCTTCCATTTGCTGGTTTACTCCCCAAATGGCCGCAAAGGCCAGAGCTGCATTGATTTGAAGCTAGGAGCCAAGAGCTTCCTTTAGGTCTCCCACATGGGTGCAGGGGTCCATGAACTTGGGCCATCTTCTACTGCTTTCCCAGCCATGGTAGAGAGCTGTATCAGAAGTGGAGCAAATTGTTGAAATTTACTTTACTTAGTATGGAGTTGATCTTCTGTGTACAGAGTTAATTGAAAATGAATCTTAATGAAGAATGGGACTGGGAAGGGGAGAGGGAGGAGGAGGGAGAAGGGTGTGGATTTGGGTGTGGGTTGGAGGGCAGGTATGGAGGGAAAAACAACTATATTACTAAAGTTGTACATTTGAAATTTGTATTCCTTAAAAAATTACTTAATAAGAAAATGAAGAAAAAAAAATAAATGGAGCATCCAGGACTTGAACCAACACCCATATGGGATGTCAGCACTGCAGACGGTGGGTTTACCTGTTGTGCCACAGTGCTGGCCCCTAAATACCACAAATTTAATAGACTTCATCTGCAAATCTAAGGAACAAAATCACTGAACGTTTCTGGAAGTTCTTAAAATATGAACTTATTTTCTTCTGTTTCGTTCTAATGTAAGGGACTGTCATTTTGACAGGATTGCATCATCATCATCATCATTATTTTTTTACATAAACTCTGGTGTGTACAATGATAATTTTAAGAAAATTTTAGGTATAAAGAATCTGAGCAGTAATAAACTATAGACAAAATATAAATCTGCACTGTAGTATTTTCTTAGGGAATATTGACACAAAAGCATGACCTTTATCTACCATTCTCAAAACTGATCATATATTTTGAAACAAAGGAATGTGATAGGCTCATATCTCTCTCTCTCTCTCTCTCTCTCTCTCTTTTGACAGGCAGAGTGGAAAGTGAGAGAGAGAGACAGAGGGAAAGGTCTTCCTTTTGCCGTTGGTTCACCCTCCAATGGCCGCCGCGGCCGGCGCACTGCGGCCGGCGCACCACGCTGATCCGAAGCCAGGAGCCAGGTACTTATCCTGGTCTCCCATGGGGTGCAGGGCCCAAGCACTTGGGCCATCCTCCACTGCACTTCCGGGCCACAGCAGAGAGCTGGCCTGGAAGAGGAGCAACCGGGACAGAATCCGGCGCCTTGACTGGGACTAGAACCCGGTGTGCCGGCTCATATCTCTTATAGTGAATTACTGTGCAAATATAATCAAACTTAAAGAGAAAGTGAATCTGGAAGTTCCTGTGTTTAGAAAGAAAAATGAAGCAATGCACAGCAATTAGCTTAGCACTGTCTCAAAATGTTAACAGGAAAATATCAACCCTTCCCACCTGCCTCTGCCCCTCTTTTCTTCAACCCTGGAATCACTGACCCACTTACTGTGTTCTGATCTACTTTAATTACTGAGTCAACTGTCAGGGTTAAGATTGCATGCATACAATCTTTGATTCTTCACTTGGTTTCAGTTAACATGTTAAATCATATATTTAAACTTCTTTCTCTAAGAAGCAGCAAGAATGATAGCTAACATTGTAAGATCATTTCCTAGAGAAACTTGAGCACGTTACAAAAGAACTATTCCCTTTTTACTCCTTACCCCCTTGCCTTCCAAGTTTTTTAGGATTGGCAACTGTTAACTACGGTTATTGAACTGAGCCTGTAGCTATAACAAAATGCAATTAAAGTGAAGTTGACGTTAAAGTTATCTACCCTGATTACTGGTGCTTTCTGCATCAATCTCCTACTATTGAGAAAGGTGGATACACAGGGGTTTATATGCTGCTTTTCAATAAACAATACCCCAGCTGCAGCTTGATCTCTACAATGTCCTTTGTAATTGTAAAATTATATCAGGATGCCTGTGTTGCTGCTCCTGTAACCACAGCCTGCCTACCTCACATCATGAGTCTCTCTCCTCAGCTATCTGTTGTGAGTGTGACACTCTTATGGAGACTCTCAGAGGCCATGTTTTATAAGCTGGCCTTTTCCACCCTTATGGCTGAGGATTGAGCCATATGACACTGTCAGCACTGCCACTTTCTTGACATTAAGGGAAAGATGGTATCAGAAACCTATATCTTACGGCAATGTGCCATAGATAAAAACAATCACATTTAAGGTGCTCTTGCGGAAAATGAGTTTGATACTGATTTAAACGAGTAAATGATAAAGAATACCCCATATAGGTCATTCCTCAGATGCCTGAAATGGCTCAGCCAGGGCCCAAGCTGGGATCCAGGAACTCAATTCAGGCCTCACATATGGGTGGCAGAAATCCAAGTACTTGAGCCATCACTGCTGCTTCCCAAGAGTCTGCATTGACAGGAAACTGGAGTCAGGAGCCACCATTAAGAATAGATGTGGGAGACTTAATCCACAAACTTCTTCAGTATTTCAACAAGGACATAGGCAAAGTGGAAGCTCTCCCCTCCCTTCAGAGGAAAGTACATCCTTCTTTGTGGCCTCTTCTTTCTACTGGGGTCGCCCCTGTAGAGGTCCTTCATGTAGATCATTTTTTGCCACAATGTCTTGGCTTTTCGGGCCTGGAATGCTCCGCTGGGCTTTTCAGCCAAACCAGAATGCTTTAGGGTTGATTCTGAGGTCAGACTGCTACTTAAAGTGACTGTCATTCTGTGAGTGTGCTGCAGCCTAGGAAACTCTTGTCAAGAGCCTTGGATGACCGCTGACATCATGTATAAGAGTGTTACTTGTTAAATAAACAACAGGAGTCACTCAGTGTGTGCTAATTCCCATGCAGGATCTCTGTGCTCAAAGAGCTGTATTATGAGACTTAAGAATAAAACTTGTTCTCAAAGAATTACGTTGTTCTAGTGTATTAAGTGGAGAATATTCTTATGTCACACAAATTATAGTTTGTGTAAGTGCTAGCAAAAGATGTACCATTCTTGGGTTCCTCTTTAATTAAATTTCCAAAAAAAAAGGCAAAATTACCATCGAGATGCAATGACTCCTTGTGTAGACTGTCAAGGAACAGCTTTTGTTTTTTGTTTTTAGTTAGTTTTTTTTTTTGTTTCTTTGTTTTGATTTTTTATTTCTCTTTCTTTTCCTTTTCCTATCTCATACAAAGTCCTGAACTCTTTACCTAGAATAATCTTCTGTGTATAAAGTTAAATAAAAATAGAGCTTAGTGATAAACAAGAGTGGCAACAGGAGAGGGAAGTGGAAGAAGGATGGAAGTGTGGGTGGGAGGGCAAGTATGGAGGGAAGAATCACTGTGTTCCTAAAGTTGTGTTTATGAAATGTATGCAAATAAAAAAAGAAGGAAAAAAAAAGATCATTTACTAATTCAAGATTGAGAGCCAATGCATTCTTTATATAACCCCACTTGCTTTTCTTTCCATAGTGAAATAATAACAGGTGACTACTGTATAATTATCCTCTTCTACTAAATTGCAAGCATGATCAAGTTCCATAAACAGTTTGGCTTGAACAAGAGGTGTTATGAAGATTGTGGAAGATTATTTTGTAAAATATCTTTATGGAAATCTGAAGAATAGCATCTTCTGGGGCTACTTTTGTCTAAAAGCCTAGATGCAGTCATTATTGGAGGCAGATAAATGAACTGCAGCCTTCATTCAACATTTATACATGCGCATAGGTGCATGCCAATTGCTGAACCAGTCTTTCTTTGACATTTACATATTTCTAACCTAAGTTTGAAATAATATGATTTCATTTAAATATGAAATTAAATATATTTTATTTATGTCTCTGAACCAATTTCTTTTTTTATTATTCACACTTAAATTTTTAATGTTGTGACTTACAGTCTAGGAAACTCTGAAAGGTAAAAATCTCTTCGGCTCATTTTTTTAGCACACATATGTGCAGAGATGTGGGGGGTCAACACTGTATTCAGGTGAGTTGAGATTTGAGGCACAGGAAAATACATACTCATTCAAAATGTTTAGCAGCGTATACTGCCTTTAGTTTGAGATGTTGAGGATCAGTTAGGGGAGTCCAGTGCAAGTCTATGGCATGATTCTACATTCATCATATATGACTGGAACACCAATAAATATCACTCTAGGGTTGCATAGTGTTCAAGATAGACCATGGCCTACACAGGGGATTTAAGAGGTGAGCCTTGTGGTACAGGTTAGGCTGCTGTTTGGGACACCTATGTTCCATCTCAGAGTGCCTAATTTCAAGATGTGCTTCTGCTCTTCCCATCCCAATTCCTGCTGCTGTGCACCCTGGGAGTCAGCAAATGATGGATTGTGTACTTGGGTCCCTGCCACTAGTGTGGGATACACAGATTGAATTACAGGCTCCTGGGTTCAGTCTGGCCCAGCTCTAGCTGTTGTGGGCATTAGGGAGTGAGCTAATGGATTGATCTCTCTCTCGCTCTCTCTCTCTGTGTCTCTCACTCTGATTTTATTTGAATAAATAAATCTATAGACTACTAATTGATATAACAATGGATACTAAAATTATTGAATAAATAAATTTGAAACAACAAACATGATTTTTAAAACCAGGTTTAAATGGAGTTCTCCTTTGCTTTCTCTCCCTACCTCTAGTCCATTTCCTCTGTCCCTCTACCCTCCTTCCAGCCAACTTAAGGGACCCAGAATGTGTCTCAGAATTCTCAGAGGGAAGCAATAAGGGGACATCAAGCAAGGGGCCCTGGACTTCACCCCAGACCTTATTCTCTAGGAACTAGATACACAGAGCATTCGAAGCAAAAGAGTTAAGATTCTGGGTTTTATAAAGCACAAAAGTCCAACTGAGACCTAATTTGGCAAAGTTCCACTACTGAGGAGAATCTTAAAACTGCTTCTTAGATTGTGACATGAAAGAGTTCCAGATTTGTGTAACCTATTACAATTTTCAGTATTTACAATAATAATATTTCCCTCTTTACTTGCATGCCTTCTGGTTAAATGATGGCAAATCCCTTTAAAAGCATACACATAATATGAAATAAAAGTGGTTATTTTATTTCATTTTATTTTTAAAGATTTATTTATTTGTTTGAAATGCAGAGTTATAGAGAGGCAGAGGCAGAGAGAGAGAGGTTTTCCTTCTGCTGGTTTACTCCCCAGATGGCCGCAATGGCTGGAACTGCACCGAACCGAAGCCAGGAGCCAGGAGCTTCTTCCAGGTCTCCCATG